AATACATTTCCTAACCAGCTTCTACTACCTATCCCACTCACAGAACCATCAATGCCAGACTTAGGTTCTCCTGCATCACTAGTGTCAGATTTATTATTCTTTACATCACCATTTTCAAAATCTTCTTATATCCCTGCTGAGCCTTTTCCATTCTGGTTTAATTCCAGTCCCATTACAATGAGTTAATTGTAATGGGACTGGAATAGAACCATAATTGGTGACCAGAAGTATCTGGTTTGCCAATAGAGTCAATCATAAATGCACTTACATATGTGTGCCCCAATAATGAAAGTAGATGTTTGAAAGGACATAATCCTGGAAGTCCCTTGTAATGGGACTTTAATAGGAGTATGTGGGCATGGAGGCCAGTGTGATTTATACCCTATACTCCCCTACTCTAGCTCCACCAGCTGATACTGACACATGAGGGTATAAATCCCCTTAGAGCTGAATGTTCTCCTCTATGAAGATATGACAGTTTGTATGTAATCTTGTCCATTAAGATCCCTGCAAGAAATATAACGATGAATGTAAGAAACATGACGGTCAGCTATGACAGACTAAAAAAAGGCAACTTCCCCTAAAGACCCTATAAAGGTGTATATTATATATTTTTTTCAGTACTGGTAAAATATAAGTAACTATGGTAACAGAATTTTAAAAATGTCCATGAAAAATGCATTGTGGCCTCATTTTTAGAATATCTTGTTGGAGATGGCTTTTCTAAGGTCACATGTTGCACAGAGAGTCTCTTGGCTTTGAAGCTTGACCTTGTGTCATGAAGCCATTTAAAACAAAACTGCAAGGGTTGTGTTTAAATGCTTTTGTAAATCCTATACTTCTGGAATTCCTCAGCTGTTCTGTGTTGGCTTACATTCAGCCAAAACAAAAAAAAGGATTTACTGCAGTTCCCAAAAACAAGTGTTAGAACAGATTGGGTCACAAGTATTGCTGAGTAGTGCAAGACTGGCACACATTGTAGTACATACTGGGGACATAGGGCACAGATGTGCTCACCACGAAATATGAGAGACAGATCTCTCCTTTGCTGGGCTTCCTGCTCATGGATTCAAAATACAATAAACTCCCCATTATCCGGCATTCAAGGAACTAGAACGAAAAATTTAGGTCATAATATGTCTTTATTTATTTTTTGCCAGATAGACATGTGCACGCTAAAACATTTTGTTAACAACTAAATGTATTTTGCGTGTGCAATAGCCGGCCTGCTATTGGCTATGGCAATTTGAAATAGTCAATAACAAAATCTAGCCAGCAGATGAAAGGGGGCAGTGGGTTGTTGCTTGAGAGTTAATAGTAACTCTCAAAGAACCAGAAGCTACAGTTATCCGGCATCTGCCAATCCCCATGGGTACTGGATAACTGGGAGTTCAGTGTATATCAAAGTGGACCTATACTCAAATATTATTGTATGATAACACTGTTGGTGGGCTACATAAAGGATAATAACCAGAAGGGTGGAACTATCTTTCCTACAGAAAATGCTGCTCCAGGGTCCCTACTGTACTGGTTATGTGACCGAGAGCCTAGCTACTTAGTCAGATCTCTGCTGTTTTGTTATATGTGTTTGATAAGTACAAAAACTTTTTTTCATGATGTCAGAAATTTAGGGCTGTGCTGTGGCTTTTGCACATTTCATGTACGCTCTATAGTAGAGCAATTTGCCCTACAAGTTTTTATTTTAAGACTACACCGTGATTAGCCTTTATATTGTTTATATTGTGAGATGGGAGAATAGGAGGGTCTGAGTAGTTTATCAGAAGATAACTGGGCAAGGCTGACACCACTGTCCACAAAATTGCTGATTGTTGTCTGCACTCAAGGCCTTAGAGGCAAAGTGTGTGTCTGGCCGACTCAACGAGTATTTTTCTGTACTTGCAGGGTCTATAAATGGATACAACCTTGGGAATGTTCAACATGTTTTTTAAAAATAATTCTGCCCTGACATGCACTTTAATGAGAGGATCAGTTACCCTACAGGTTGACAGAATAATTTATTAAGCTGGTAGTGTGCCCTATAGTGACTAGATCTGCCTTAATCTTAAAGGGAACCATATCTGTGCATTGGCACATGAATTGTAAAGTATGAAGTCCAAGAGTGACATGAACAATATGCCATAAATATCTACATGATATGCTGTTGAAAGGCACAAGAGACTATGGAAACGTGCTAGCTGTTTTTTCAGTAAAAGTTTCCTGAGACTATTTTGACCCCACCTGGGCTGTAGGTCGAGATACAGGGATAACTGACATCCCTTGCCAAGCCCCACTAGAAGCCACTGTAATCACGCTGTGGAGGGCTAGATAGAGGCATGGCATCTGTATTGTGACTATGTGACAACATGCATGCTGTGCATTGGCACAGCGTCCTGTATTTCCCATGTCAGAAGGAGAGGCACAAACTGATTATTCAAGAATGGATCTGCTTTCATGCCTAGCATGGTCAGTTACAAACAGGAATGGGGTGTTTCTTGAGAGGACTGTCAGAACAACCAGGAATTTATTTGGCTGCAGAAATTAATTATAGAATGCAGACATTGTTTAGCAATTAAAGGGGGACTAAGTAAATTTGTAACCAAGTTAGGGTTAACACACACTTTAATCAAACCTTGTTGACACGGCTGCCGGAGAGTGTCTGAAGAAAATGAATACACGATCATGCTAGCCAAGTCACCAGTGGATTCAGAGTGACTGAACAAACCAGCAGTTAATCACCGTGCATCATTACTGATAACATATGCCAAGTAAGGTGTGTTCATATTGCAGGGTCAGTGTGCTCTTACATGTGCAGACATTTGTGGAACTCACAGTTGAACAGAGTGCCGACACATCATAGTGACCTTTCCCCCAAAGAAATCTAACCCATACTAATTCTGTGTTTCTAAAAAGTGACGCTCCTCCTTGTTAGTAGAGGATTCGGCCTCCAAAAAGGAGCCTGACCTAAATAGCTGAAAGGAAGAAACCAGCTGTTATGGGCAACAAACACAGCTCTTTCAAACATAAGGACCATTGTGAAGTTTCACACCATCCCTTTTCCCAGACACAAACTTCCCTTCATTAGTGGCTAATGTGTAAAACTCGTTTGGTGACGGACTGCTAAGGCTAGTGTACACAGGCTTTTGAGAGCAGTTGAAGACCAACGCCAGCCAAGATTTTGTGTTGTTGTTGAGTTGTGGATAGAGTAGGGAAGGATTAGAACCTCAGTGGGGGGGGTTTCTACTGCTATGCCCCCATTGTGGAGATTTCCAGCTCTTTCCTGGTCAGCAAATGAGGGGAATCTTCTCAGATGTGACACAGACCAATGAAAATGTGACAGGGCTATTAAACCTTCCCTGTTGGCTGGAGTTGGGCTTTAAAGTGTATATAAAGGATGTTTGAGGTTTTGGATAGAGTGGTGAGGGTTTGGATCGCTGAGACAGAGTGATTTTAAAACAATTTAGAGTTGTTTCCAGAGCAAGAGGTAAGGGAACACCCAAGTTAAACACCTGTTACCATAACAACTTTCCAAGATGGAACTTGAGACTTATTCCCATATACGGTGAGGCTGGGTTCACACCTAGGCGTATCAAATATGCGCGTTTCGTGACGCGCATTTTTACCGCGATTCGCAGTGCGTCAAACACACGTTTCCGAGGGCCACCAGGCTGTATTCCAATGGAAACGCGCGACAAAAACGCTCCAAAGAAGCTCCTGTACTTCTTTGCACATAGGGCGTTTTGTAGCGCGTTCATACGGCCTGTAATATGCCCAGGTGTGAACCATACCCATAGGAACAAAATGGGATTTCGGTGTTTGAGCGTTTGGCAGAGCGTTCGAACGTGCTACAAAACACCCAGGTGTGAACCAGGCCTTAGGTTTTGAGAACAGGAAGTGAAGGGAAATCTCTTCAGTGGGGCAGGGGGAGAGGGGATGAATAAGAGGGGGGGAAAAAAGAAACCCCATCCCACACACCCCTAAGGAGGATGTAACCTTTCCCTACTCTATATAAAAAAAAAAAAAAAAAAAAAAAAAAAAAAAAAAAAAAAAAAAAAAAAAAAAAAAAAAAAAAAAAAAAAAAAAAAAAAAAAAAAAACACAAAAACATAACTTTTCAGTTTTTGCTTTGATTTTATTCTTACTCACAAGTGAAAGCATGGAAGAAAAAAAAATCCATGGTTGATGCTTCTCATGCACACCAGTTCCATTCATCCAAGCATGAGATCTACACGCTCATTTAATAAACTGTGCAAGGAGTAAAATATGGCCGCTTAGGATAATCAGAGCTCTGTTGGCCAAAGCCAGAACAGTACAATATGTATTTTTGTATGGTTGCCATGAATACTGCCAAATTAGTCCCATGTATGATTTAATGAAAGTAAACCTTTCCTGAGAGACGGGGGTTGCCATATTGTACTGATTCAATGGGTACAGAATGTGTAGTTCCCCACAGCCTTAGGCCTTGTTGACACCAAATGCAGAGCAGATCTGCATTAGTTTCTGCACATGCAGTGCAGTGGGTTGTGCCACGTTTTTGAAACTGGAGTTAAAAATACCATTAGACGCAGTTTTGCTCCGGTCTGCAACTGCTCTGCTCTTGGAACACGCTTGGTGTGAACAAGGCCTTAGGAACAATACATGCACAAATTACGTCTGTATGCCCTCTGGCTTATCTAAGGCTCCGTTCACACCTCGTTATTGCACATATTAGTCTTGTTTAGCGTGTTTCACACATTTTTTGCGTGCGTTAGATGCGCATACATGCAGACCTGCATTTTATTGAGCAGATTGAAATGTACTGCAGTGAAAAGTAAAGGTTTTTGTTTTTTTACATGTGAAATTGCTGTATGTAAGGCTGGCTTTAGTCCATTCTTTGTATGTTAGCACAGAGATGAGAAGCAAACTTAAAAAATTCAGGATTCAAATTGGCTGCCGTAATTCTGTAAAAAGAAGTTTATTCATATCAGGCAGGATGTTCTGAAATAAAACAAGTCAAGGGTCGTTTTCTCCCATATATTTTCAATAAATAAATTTAGTATCACAGATCAAGCACATACAGATTTAGGATTGATTAAAATAAAAAATAATAATTTATACAGTTCTCACAGCGCAGGGAAGAAAACCACTTTAACCAGCAGTTTCACCAACATCTGCTACCTATACAATAAATGTACAGGCACAAGTACCACAGGGTTAACACTGTAATGAGAATTTTCTGGCAAGTCCATGGAGGAAGCCAAGGTATGGGAAGGGATAATTCTAATAAAAGCAGCTTCTGTTTAGTTTCCCCAATTTTAGTGGCCTGTAGAACTCCCACTACCATACTGGTTTATCCTCCTTCCTTCATGTGCAATCAGTCTTTGTGCAAATCTCTTCAGCCCTTCTTGCTCCAGCCTCTGTGTGCTAGCTCATCCCCTGGAGGGGGGAGGGGGGGTTGGGGGGTGAGGCTACTGCTCCCAGGATCTTCACCCCCGGGCCCGGCGTTCTTTGCCAGTGATGAGAAAGAACGCTGGGGAATGTCCAAAGTCTAATGCAAGTGTCCGTGTCATGCCAGCCGTATAGCCTTACATAAGACAACAGCTTTTGGCCTTCTCTTTCTTGAAGGTTGAAGAAATAATTTCAGAGCGGCTGGGTATGTTTAACAGTCTCTTAGATAAGCTCCGGACAGGGCTTCTGCGGTTCGGAGGAGAGGGTTTAGATAGACACACTGAAGACGCTGAACGGAATATGCTGTGTACGCTTTTTTCTGACGTGAAGGCTGAACACTCAAGATAGCTCTCTGCTCCTAATTGCTTGGCTGTGGCACAACCCTGGAATTAAAAGAAAAAGCTAAAATTAGACTTTAAGGCTGGCATTAATAGTTAGTCATGCATTTATTATATAACCTATATGCACAGCGAGCATTATCCTGCCATAAAGGCTTGATATCATTATTAACTTTATATATTTTACCAACACTTTCTCTGTAAATTCACCACTCAGTAGATTGCAGTGTCAACATTATAGCTATGAATATACATTTTTACTCTTTTTTTAGTTTAGACAGCTTCTCATAATTTACTAGGTACAATAACAGAAGGAGT